AATTTGTTTGAAAATGGTGGAAACCGAGGACATAATTTAGAATTAGTGTATCAATATTTGTTGTCAATTCCACCAACTAGTATTGAACCTGAGCGGGCGTTTTCTGCTGCTGCATATTTAGGAAATAAAATAAGAAGTAGGTTAAATGATGTAACCTTGGATGCACTATTATTCCTCCGTGCACATTTTCAAAAAGAAAAAGAAATTAAAAATAAATAAATATATATAAATTGTAATAAGTAATATAATAATTGGTTTTATTATTGTTTTGACAAATATAAAATAATAACTTCTACTAATTATTCTGTCTTCTGTTTTTTACTTACAAGGGAAGTATCAGAACTGTCCCTCATCGATTTTGTTGAAATTTGGTACAGCGATAGTATGGCCAAAAATAAGGTTTACGTATTTTTTTATACGTGCTAATAAAGCCCCTGGGGCGAGTTATAAGGGTTGGAAATCGGGGCGAAATATATATATTCGCTTATAGGCTGAAAACGAAAATAGCTATCGAAATGTGGTAAATGTAAACTGATATTCATTTTCAAAGAGCTTTCCATTGATATATCACACATATATCTGAGGGCTTCAGGGGGTAAACTACCCCTAGTTTTTTGGAATATTTTAAAAACTACCCTGTCGATTTTGGCGATATTATGTGTCCTTATAGTACGTTTAAAAATATTAATGACGTGTTTTTTCTTATTTGCCTCTGACCATCCCCTGCAAAGTTACGGGGTATGATAGATAACCCTTTTCCTTAAGAATAATGTGATAATCAGTTACACTTTTGAACAATATTTTGAAGAAAACCATTAATTAGATGTAAATTAAGATTTACGCAGTAAAATAAACCCTATACGACATTAAGGGGTGGCGGGGGTTAACTACCCTAACCACCCCAAATAAATTTTTTTTTGCGAAATTTGTTTGTCGATTTTGGAGTAATTTACCACGCTGATTTTTTTATACGTTAGTACTATTGTAAGAACTTACAAGGGTTAGAAGTTTGGGGTAGAAAATATATTTTCGCTAATAACTTTCATACTCCTACAGAAAAAGCTTTTTTATCCTTATTCTATTTAAATAACACAAATGGTTAAATATCACAAATTGTATTCTACATTGTTAGAATCCTCTGGTACGTTTGGACCGAGGGTAATAAATACAATGTTCAAAGCAGATAACATATTCGTTTTGGCATCAAAGTCTGGTAAACTGACTTCTGCTCATATAAAAAATTGGCTACAAAATGTCTATTTCCCAAACACCGGACCCAAATCATTACTATTACTGGATTCTTGGAGTGGCCACTGCCAACAGGTCAAATTCAACCCCTGGATGTATTTGGTTTTAGAATATGGAATAATTTCATTAGAAGATTTTCTGATCAAATTATTCTCTATCAGTACGATGTCAATTTGCATCAGCGAAATAATATTTTGAAATTGCAATCCCTAACGCATAACCAGTTGTCTTCCCCACGATTTATTAATGTTTTTAAATACGCGTGGCTTGCGTCTATATATATAGGGGAGAGACCAGAACAGTTGAAAATCTCGTGGAGGTTTGCTTTTCCAATGAAAAACCTACGTGCGATATCTGTAGAGAAATAGCTGTTATAACTTGTGCATGGTGCAAACAATCGTTGTGTTTAAAACATTCTTTCCATGATTTTCATTATTGCCAACAATACATTGAATAAAAAAAGTAAAAAGAAAGAAATTAAATTAATAATGTAGAATACAATTTGTAATAGTCAACCATTTCTTTGCCAGTTACTTTTTAACTTATTATTAATAAATATTTATATAACTACACTAACTTTTGTGTTATTTAAATAGAGTAAGGATAAAAATGTTTTCTGTAGGATTATGAAAATTATTAGCAAAAATATATTTTCTACCCCAAACTTCTAACCCTTTTAAGTTCTTTCAAAAGTACTACTTAACGTATAAAAAATCATCGTCGTAAATTGCACCAAAATCGATTTTAGGATAGTTAACCCCAGCCACCAATAAATGTCGTATACGGTTTATTTTACTGCGTAAATCTTATTTTACATCTAATTTATGCTTTTCTTCAAAATATTGTTCAACAGTGTAACTGATTATCACATTATTCTTAAGGAAAGGGGTTATCTATCATACCCCGTAACTTTGCAGGGGATGGTCAGAGGCAAATAAGAAAAAACACGTCATTAATATTTTTAAACGTACTATAAGGACACATAATATCGCCAAAATCGACAGGGTAGTTTTTAAAATATTCCAAAAAACTAGGGGTAGTTTACCCCGGAAGCCCTCAGATATACGTGTGATACATCAATGGAAAGCTCTTTGAAAATGAATATTAGTTTACATTTACCACATTTCGATGGCTACTTTCGTTTTCAACCTATAAGCGAATATATATATTTCGCCCCGATTTCCAACCCTTATAACTCGCCCCAGGGGCTTTATTAGCACGTATAAAAAAATACGTAAACCTTATTTTTGGCCATACTATCGCTGTACCAAATTTCAATAAAATCGGTGAGGGACAGTTCTGATACTTCCCTTAAACATTATCGCGCATAGACACTAATTCTTGGTTCCTAGAAACATCCAGTCGAATTCTCTACCCACGAAAATCAGGATAACAATTATAATTACTGTATAACCAATTTCCGATGTGATGAACTATTTATACAATCCAGACGTTGCTCCTCCAGAATTTCCCGCTTGACTTATTATTATTTCTTTATTTTCTTTAGACTGATTGTATCCCATTTTGATGAATTTATCTTTTTTTTCTTTTCTTAAATTTACTTTTAATTGATAATTTTGGTTTTTAATCCTGGCAGGATCGCCGTGTGATAACTAAGGCCCGGATTTATATGCGACAAAAATAAGCAATATAAGTTTTTTATATGTGTTTAAAATTGGTCAAAATATGCAGTAATATTCCGGAAATATGGACAATATTATGCGGTCAAAACAAAAAAATATTCATGTGTTACATAAATACTACTTTTAATGTTGTATTGTAATAAATAGTATATAAATATAATAAAATATAATATATAAAGATTACAAAACAGCGTAAAAAAGGTATTATTTACAACGACAATAGTTATAGATTTGAAACAGTAAAGTTTCTGGATTTTCCAATTTTCTAATTTGTTCCATGGTATATTTGATTGGGCCATGGCGTTGCATAAATCGAAAAAAAAACTCATTTCCAGCGATTTGTTGCGATGACTTGGTGAAGAGTTGTTGATAAGTGCTGATCAATTTGATATTTTTGATTACACGCCACCTTAAATATCAACGAGTTCTAGAAAAAAAGCTTTCAAACTTTAATTTATACGTACTTGTTTGGAACAGGCGTTGCAAAAAACAACTTTCCCGTACAAACAACCAGCTAGTGACTGAGCTGGTTAGATATGTTTATCCACATTTCAAGGAATTCGGCCTTAGAAGAACCTACTTTCGACATTATGATTTATGGTTCTTTGAACACACTAGCTTAACGTATAAATCAGTTGAACACTTGTGTGGCTTGAAATGATTTAGTGGTTATGTTACGAAAATCGGATGGGAACCACACAATTAAAGTTATGTTGTAAACCACACCACTGCCTCACTTTTAACTCTTTGTCTACTACTAGATACCGCCAGTATCAAATTAACTGCTGTTATGTTGAAATATGGACAAAACATGCGCTCATATGAAATTACATGCGATTATATCGAACTATATGGATAACTAAATTTATATGCGATAAAAATGCAAAATATGAAGTTATATGCAAAACATGCAAAAGCATATAAATCCGGTCTCTAGTGATAACCATTGATAGTTACCTCAATAAATTGAATATTAGATGGTGATGGAATTGAAAGATTGTTTCGTTAAAACGTTCTATTTATTCATTCTTACTCTACGATTACATATACTAGACTAAAATTTTAAAATTTAATGCTATTCGTATTAAACATAAACTAATTTGCAAGTTCAACATTTTTATTGAATGTCCTCAATTCGTAATTGCACGCATCGATATTACATAAATTTCGCAATCACTTCCTGTCTTGTATTCCATTACAGGGTTCGTTCCATTCCATTCCGATTCATTCCGTTCTGTAATAGTGCCCGAAAGCTTCTAATTCTAGCGTTAGTTCTAGTGATAGTACTAATGTTAGTTATTCAGCATCTAGAAACATTCGGGTTTAGCCGTGCTTCTCTTAAGATGGCCAAATCTGAATGCTTCTAATTGTAGGTCCCAGGTCTAAGAATCTCACTAACTTCTTTGATTATGGTCTTTCATCTCCGTATCTAATTCCAAGTCACCAAAGAGGGCAATTAATAAGTTTGTGAGCAAGTGAGGATAAAAGGAAATAAAAATTTGTGATTTCTTCCTTCAATTTATAATGTAATTTTTATTTTTCTTTAAAAAAATGGATAGGGTTACAAATGTTACAAAAATATCTAAATTAATTAAGAAATAATAAATATTAAAACCGCGTGAGATCATAGGTACAATAATATGAAAAAAACCTTCTCTACCTGATTTTATAATTAAATTAATAAGAGTAAAAATATTTTAAAAACGATCAATTCCAAAATACACGATTCATTTAATCAAGATTATCTAATTTTTATACAAAGTAACTTTTATAACCACACGGTGGTTGACTCTACAAATAAAGTACATACATATTTTTAAAAATCCACTAAAGTCCACCAATGTTTTCTAAAAGACATTTTAATTATAAGTAAAATTACCAATTAATTATTTTTTTACACGATCAATTAATTATGCAGTGAAGGGTATACGGTTTATATACAGTGTATAACACTGATTCGATCAAAAATTATCTTCAAAATTTTCGCTATTTATTTGCATGGCAAAAATATTTTAAACAAATTACTAAAATTGTAGTACTACTAGTTTTAAATTTAAATTGTCTTTTTGTACACGACTTAAAATTTATTATAATTAATAAATTAAAGTAAAAAAAAACATCGCCTTATATTGAAGATAATGTTTGATGAAAAAAATGAATTTGTTGTTGTTATGTTAGTCAGCGTTTAACAGATTAACACTAGGCGAAGTCCTATCTCGTTTACTTTTTTTATTTTTCGATTTCTCCCGCTTTCTGGAACTTGAGGATGAATCACTCGGTGACGATCCATTGGAATGGTCTTGAAGCATGTCTCTTAGCGAAATCATATCGCCGTCTTCTTCCCCTTCGATATCCACGGTATCCGAAGATTCCGTTTCGTTGTTCTTCTTTGGTGTACCTATCTCAAAAAAAGAAACGACAGAAACGTAATAATTACATTTTTTTCACAAAAATTAAAATCAAATCGTTTTTAATGTTTTTTGAAGGAAAATACCTTTTCCTTTTTTACTTCCGTTTCGATCTTTTTTCTTCCGACTACGTTTCTCGTTCGAATTCCAATCCGCGTCGTCCTCATCGTCACTTCCTAATCCGGAAAATGTTGAGTTTTCACGTTCTTTATTATTATTAGTGACCCTTCGTACGTTTCTTGAACGACTTCGTCCCATTCCCATACAACTTTCCAAGTGTGGGGCAAATCTAAGAATATTTTTTTAACATCTTTTTCTCTTTTTTCCAGAATTTTGTTTATTTAAAAATATTTTTGTATTTGTAATAATTTTGAATAGGTTTTTCAGACATCTTTATTTAAAAAAAAAATATACAAGAAAAAAAATAAATAAATTAAAAAAATTAAGCAGCTTTTATTTCTATAAATTTCTTAATCTTAAACTTCATTAATATTGTTATCACCTTAATGCAGCAACTTGTCTATCACAAATTGGACAAACACAGTCTTCCGTTTTCTTTAAATTGTGATTCCCAAAGATGTCGACGTGCGAAGGTAAAGGTTCCATTTTCTCAGGCGATTTATCCCTATCTAAATTAAAAGTTTTTGTGTAATGTTTCCGATGGGCATCGAACAATATCCCTAAAGTAACTTGATCGATCATCGAATTAATTAATTTCTCTGTAAGTGTGCGCAACTGAACCGGGTCATTAACTACATCTTTAATATCTTCATACTTAATTATTTCATTGTTTACTTGCTCTACCATCCTTGAACACCTTAAAAACCAAATTAAAAAAAAAAATTAAGTTCACTTCATTTTGCTCACCGCTATACAATTACGTAACTTTTGATCGACACCGTACAAGACGTAACATAACCTCGAAATGCGGCGAATAAAAGTTGAAAAAAATCACTTACAATTCATCGAGTCCGTGAAGTTTTCGTTATCGTACTTTTAATTATTGAGGTAGTGGATTTCTTTTGAGCCGGAATCGTAAAAATTAATAAAAAATATCACGATTCTCAAATAGTGTAGTTTAGAAAGGTAAGTTGTGCAACACAGCCATCATAACAACTGACAAAAACGGCGCACGCAACGGCGGGAAAAATGCGAATTTGAATTGTTGACTAGTTTCCATGGCGATGGATTAGAACGATGTATACATGACCCGCAGTAAACTTGGTGATTAGTAGGTTTTTTATTGGAAAAAATATCCGCAAATTAATCTTTATTTCGTTTACAGGTGCGAAAAATCACGGAAAATGCAGGGAGAAGAAGAAAACGGTTGGGTTTTTGATTCTTTGGTGTGTTTTTTGAATGGACCGGTTTGGAGCGCTCCATTAGAAAGTTTTATTGAGGAAAACTCTTTAAGTAAGAAATATTTTTAGTAGATTTAATAGATATATGTAGTATTTTAACACTTTTTTTTAAATAGCTTAAGTTTCATTTCCTGTGAACAGTACAGGCTGTTTTCCAACTTTCGATGGGTTTTTAGGGTATCTCAGTTGTTATGAAAGTTGTTATGAAAGTTGCGGTTTTCGCGAACATGAGCTACTTTTTTGTGAAACTTACAATGCCGCAAACCAAATTTTCATAGCCCTTTTCGTTTTTGATATACCGTAGATATGCCATAGATTTCAGCCATAGATTTTAAACTGAAAAAAGTTCTTGATCGGGGTATTTAATCGATCTAATTTCAACGGTATCGTGTTCATGGTCGCCTCTTGTTTCAAATTTCACAAGAAAATATTCCTAACCATTTCCTATAGTCCGGGAAAATCGATTTTCTTGAAACTTTCGCAAAAGCGGCCTGTTCCACAGTGTTAGGAAGTTACGAATATGTGGCCAAAAATCTAATTACAACTAAATGAAGTTGAAAATGTTTACTACCTTTATAATATCTCCTTAATGGTTAGCTAGGATTTATTTAATCTATATACAGTGCTTAAAACAAAATTTAGGATGTTGAAACGAATATTTGAAAATAAAAGCGAAACAAAGGTTTTGCTGTGGTTTGGGTTGGATCTTTAAGCTAATATAATTCCGAAAACATGGTACATTTATTTCCTGTACCCTAACAATAAGTATATATGCTTATATATATATAATAATATAAATATACACTGTGTACATAAAGTATGGAATCAATTCTATAAAAATTCGGGGGATATTCTTCCAGAAAAAAGGCTTAGACATCTATGTTATATTATTTAACGCGCATTTCTCCAGATAAAATTGAAATGTAGAGGTGTCCCAAAATTGAGATACCATGCCTAAGTTGACATTTTAAAATAGGAACCCACATTTTTTTTCTTGCATTTATGGATTATACGTAAATTTTGAGTGTTTTTCATGTAGCTGTCTTCGAAACAGTAGCAGTTAAAAAAATACTCTTACTATTTTATTTGCAATAATAGAGTAAACTACGCTATTCTTTGTTTCTGTGTTAATTTGTGACAAATGTTTAATAATGTAGTGATAACCATAAATTATGTTTTAACCCATAAGCAAATTTAGTGTTTTAACATTTCTTGTATACCTATATTTATTTTTCTTGTAGAAAAATCTTGTAGAAAAATAAATAGAAGAGATTCTAGAACACAGTGAAGAGGAAGAAAACTAAATATTATTTTTCTTCTTCTTCACTGTGTTCTACAATTTCAATATTAGTTGTAATTGACGATAAAAAATCATTTCTTTCTTCATCATTTTCAAAGCAGAGAAGGCTTATAAGTTCTTGAGGAAAATCTGCATTTCAATAATTTATGGAAGGCTTACATTTAATAGACTGCCTAAGTCTGACTCACAGAGCTGGGCGGAGCTTATACTGACTCCAAACAATTTCGTTGCTAACCACAGTTGCTAACGATAAACCGCCATAAAAAATTTGAAATTTCATTTAAAAAGTCACTTGGTTTATTTTATTTTAACACTAATTGGCGTTAAAAAGTTCTTATAAAAAATCAACGTGTTTTTGAATTTCATCCCTTTAGAGGCCGCTAGGTAAGCTTTAGGTATGCTTGAAAATAAGGTGTTAACCAGTAGTAAATACATACAAAATTTCAAATTCTTCGGTTTAATGATAGCCGAAATACAAAATAAAACGTAAATTTTTGGCGCAACTTTAATCGCTCATAGCTCGAAAACAAAACAGTTGCGACCTTATGTTTGTATAAAAAACTTGTGTTATTTTGGCAAGTACTACATCTTAGTAAAGTTTTCCGATTAAAAACTGAACCACCCTGATTTTGAAGTATTATTGTTAACAATAATCAAGAAATGAACTTAAGTTTATTTCTTGATAATAATTTTTGTGAAATAATCATCTGGTTTTGCGTTTTAACGCGTCATTGATTTTCTTTTTTATTACTGTGTGTTGGATAGGTATTTTTTAACTCAAAAAATACTTCGGACTTATTTGGGAAGAAGGTTACAACAACATGATATCCGAATCGTGACTCTTTTTTAAAAACGCACGGTTAAGCCCGAAAGCTTCTAGTTATACATTTAGTACTAATATTGATTCATAAAAATAGTTATTCTGAAAAATTGTAAGCGATTAATAGTTTCTAAACTAACTTTCAGTATTCACTGTCGAATATCCGTAGACACCACCCTGTATATTAGCCATTTTATTGAAAATGCGCAAGTATGCGCAATTTATTTTTTTGGGAACGAAACGTATAGGCTTGAAACTACATAAAAAAACAAATTTCAACCTGGGATCTTGTGGGACTTTTTTTATAGCTCAAATCAAAGTTTAACATTGCAAATAAAATCTGTTTATGAACAGTGTTGAGAAAAAGATAAATAAATCCTGTATTCAAGAAGCTATTACAGTGTTACATAAACAACACATACAGTATAAAATTATAGTGAAATTTCATAAGGGTACAACTTTTAATATGTTTACAATCGTTTCTCAAAATTAATCAAATGTTTTTGGAAATTGATATGCAAAATAAGTGTTAACTTTACATGTCATTTTTATCCAGAGTTGAAGTTAATAAAAAGTGGTTATTGCGGAGTAGCGAGTATTACGATATAACCTAACGATCCCCATTTGCCAAAATATTAAAAAAGAAAATTAGTAAAATCATATTATGGCCAGTAATTTCACATTTCCTAACACTGTGTGTTCGGGGCTTTTAATCGATTTAATTTCAACGGCATTATATTCCCGGTCGCTTCTTGCTTCAGAATAAAAAAAAAAGAATTTCCTAACTATTTCTTATATTCCGGAAAAATCGATTTCCTTCAAACATAAGCAAATTTCGGCCTGTTCGGGGTTTCTAATGGATCCCATTTCAACGGCATTATATTCTTGGTCGCTTCTTGCTTCAGAATCAAAAAGAAAATTTTCCTAACCATTTCTTATATGCCGGGAAAATCGTTTTTCTTCAAACAATCGCAAATTTTGGCCTTTTCGGGGTTTCTAATCGATCCAATTTTAACGGTATCGTATTGCTGTTCGCCTCTTGTTTCAGATCCAAAAAGAAAATTTTCCTAACCATTCCTTCAATCCAGCAATCAATTGGACAATTGTTTATAATAAACTTTGTTTGTGCTTTTCTAGTTTCAGTAGTCATTGAAAGTACTCATTACTCGATATATACACTCAATATTCAAAAGTACATTCATACCTGTCGCTATCATCTCTATGCGGATGATACACAGATATATTACTCCTTTAAGCCATCGGATGTTGCGTTAGCTTCTAGTCAAATCAATCAGGACTTGAGCGGGATTCTCCGCTTTTGCGGATGATCACGGTTTAGTGGTAAATTCGGATAAAACTGTTGGTTTGGTCTTTGTGAATGGAAGAAATAAATTGGCTGCGCAGCGGGATCTGGGATTGCTTATTGGAGGGGCTGAGGTGATGTATCAGGATTCGGACATTTGCTTATGTTTGAAGAAAATCGATTTTTCCGGAATATAAAAAAAAAATAAAAAGAAGGAAGCTTTCTTTTGCTTCCAGTATGAAGTAGAATATCAGCAGCTTTTAAAAGAGAAGGTTTAATTAGAGTTTCACCGATGTTATGAGACTTTTTGGCTTTGACGATGAACAAGGCGAGTTTATAAGAGGCTTCCGCAACATTTTAATTTGTTTGAGAAAATTTACCAGTATTGTCTAACTTTATGACTTCTATATACTGAAGCTCTTAGCTTGGAAAAACTCTTTTGGTTTGTCTTTTAATGAACAATATTTTGAAAATAGGTGTCGTTGAAGGCGTGTAGGTCTCATACCGTGATTACTAACAATAAGAACATCGGAACATATTACACATTGCAGACAGTCGACTTCGTTCTTTACTATGAACTATTGAAAAACCATACTTGATGTATTCATCAAGATATTTTCGTTTTTTATTAGAACTCATATTCAACTAAAAGAGAGATACAAAAGTTCACACACTGTATTTAAAACAGTAAAAGAAAATTGTCGGCTCAAAGAAGTTTTCGGGCAAAAAGTGTATATATATTTTAAAATAAAGCTAGATTATATACCTTTTGTAATACAGGTCTAGTGTTAGTTCTAATGGTAGTGTTCGTGCTTGTTTTAGTTGTAATTCAGCGTTACATTGTTGTATATTTTTCATTGAACTAAAACTGGAACTAGCACTAGACCTTGAGCTACAAAGTTTCGGGTACGTCTCTTAATACGGCTAAATCTGAATATTTCTAGTTCTAGATCTAGCGTTAGTTCTAATGATAGCGTTAGTTGTTGTTTTAGTTGTAATTCAGCGTTAGCTTGTTTTACAGGGTCTGTTATGACGAGCTGAGTCTATAATAATAATAATAATATCTTTATTGTGCAAAAACATTGAAGTGTTACACTCGTCAATCAGTACTACAATCTACAATAACCGTACAGACAAGTATAATAATAATTATAACATAGCAAACGCAATACATTAATTATAGCAACAATAGTCGTAATTACAAAAATAAACGCAACAAAACACAGCAAATTACGCACGTGATCAATAGGAGTCAAAAATAATTACGGTTCCGATACACATATATTGAAATTTACAACATATATTGTGTCGTTTAAAAAGTCAGTACATGAGTAGTAGGCCCGCTCAACCAGGAATTTATGAAGACAGTTCCTTAGAGATTTAAGAGGCAATCCGGCGACAGTGAGTGGCAGTTTATTAAAAAACTTGACAGCAGCAATATTTACACTTTGGTGACCCCTTGATAATCTGGAATATTTAGGTATGAGACGCCCATTGTTTCTAGTGTGGTGGTTATGGACCTCACCATGTGTGACAAATGTATATGACAATTTTTGCGAAAATTTGCATATAGGATTTATCCGAGGAGCTCGTTTTTGTTAAAATATTTTCAGTTTTCTGCAACTTCTGATTATACCGGAAATGGACCTCTACTTCTTTATTTTAAATGGAATGTCCCAATTTTTATTGTATTTCCAAGATCCCCGTTAAATTTTAATATAATTTGATATAAGATTTCACAATTTTTGAATTATTTCAGTTTTTTCAAAAATTTGGCAGATGCATCCTTTCAGTCCAAATATTTTCAGGGTTTGCACAACTAGGACCCATAGTATACATAATCTTTGAAAACTTTTTTTAAAAATCATACAGGCTGGTCAGAAATTTTCGCCAAATTTCTCTATCTTGAAAAGTCGAAAACTTAATTTTTTTAAATGGCAACCCCACTTTTTTCCTTCACCCGCGTATTATATGCTAAAAAATAAGGAGACTTTGTGATTACATCCTTATATCTAAAATGAATGGTTTTTGTAGAAACCCCAAAGAAACACAGCTGCAAAGTAATCCAACTCCTAAGTAAGCCCAACCCGAAACAACTCAATCGGACTTATTTAAAGGTGACAAGTGTTTGGGTTGGGCAACTCAACTTGATCACAAATCAATCCATGTCAATTTCAAGCCAAGTTAAATCAACATTAAACTAACACAACCTAACCCCAAAGGAAATCACAAACTGGACACCAAAGGTAACCAATTCATGCTAACCCAATCCCAACGAATCATAACCACAAAGTAATCAAACTCTTAACAAAGCTAATTCCTAACTAATGCAATCACAAATTAACTTCACTGTAAAGTAAGTCCAAAATAAGGCCAACCCTAACACAAATCTGGCTAAATCAACTCCAAGACAACCTAACTTAATACTAAAGGAAATCATTCAACCCAAACCCAAATCACATCAACCCGAAAAAATCATAGCCAAAAAATCATCCAACAATGCTGGTTGAACCCTGAAGTAACTCATTCACTAAGTAATTTCACTGCAAAGTAAGCCAACCGAACTCCAAATTAACTCAACCACAAAGTAACCCTGCTACAAAATGTAATTTTGATGTCGATTCAGCGTAATTAACGGCGATGTTTAGCGATATTAACAAATAACAAACCGAATGTAGAAAAAGACCAGGACAGTGTTAGAAGATATTAGACGTCGTAGGACGTCAGAGAATTTTAATGATTCGTGCTTATATCACCCTGAAACTGGTCACCATATGCTATATATGGTGAAGCCTCGGCTGTATCAGATGATCTTTTGACTAATAAATTTTTGGCTCAGTGATTAAGATTATATTAACCTAAAACTAGTCATCATGTTGTAACGCCTCGGCTTTATCAGGTGATCTTTTGACTAGTAATGCCAAGGTTTAGTAAATAACATTATATCTACTGGTTATTTTATTATTGAAACCTGTCATCAAGGAACCACTTGTAATAAGTATGCAAGAGAACAGCAGGGATGTCGAAGATGATAACATTAAGGAAATAAATAATTCAAATATATTGCTAAAGAGAGTTTTTCGTGTTTTGTCCCTTTCTTATAATAAATAAGTATATTTCTCGCCATTCTACACAGATACGCAATACGTGTATTTTTGTTATTTATCAATCCGTTTGACCATTATTAGTTTGTTACTTTCATCAAGACATAATCATAACTTCATAATGCAAGAGAAATGAAATCAGGTCTTTTATGACCATTAACTAAGTTTGATTGAATAACTATGTATATATACAGGTGTCCCGTTAAGCGTACGGAGCGGCTGTATCTCAACAACGTTAAGGCCTAGAGGTTTGGGAAAAAATCCTTATAAGCAAAGTGGGCAAGAGAAATACCTGGAAATTATTTTGAAGTTTGTAATTCGACCGCTAGGGGGCGTAACTGCCATAGAGAAACATAAAATTCTCGCTATCTCAGAAAGTTAGACGATGAGCTATAACTTTGACAACATCATTTAGTAGCTTGGATAATACCGCATCGCTTTTGTTTTGCGATATTTCTCATATCTGTCATAATAAGGGAGGGCGAGGCCAATGCGTTTTCAAATGTTTACATTTTAATATCTCCTGGACCATTTAACCGATTTGAATATTTTTGGTCTTGTTTGAAAGAGCATTTTATGCTCTTTTAAAAGACATTTTCAGTAAGACCGCTTGGTTTAAAACAAATAAGCTAGAGGGCGTTATCTGCAGCGGTTACATATTTTTGTGATTTTTGAAAAAAAGTTAAATGGAACGGTACTATTTACTTCACAGACCATTAATCACTATAAAATTTGCTAAATATTAGTAAAAACCGCATCTCGATATCTCCATCATTTCTCGAATTATAAAAGAAAATGTTAAAAATTCGTATATCTTAATCGGATCAAGTTACCTTAGGAAACAAATAAGAGAGAACAAAAATTTTATTATCTACAACCTTCCTTTACACTTTATCCAAGCTTAGAACTGCTTCAAAACTACTTTTGAGGCGTGTTGAAAAGCCAACGGATCAATGAAACATCAACAATGATAATAAAACAAAATAAACCAAAACACTTAGAATAACTTAAATTTTTGGCAAAAATAACTCACTAATGTGCGAAATGCCTTCCATAAACCTCGATGCATTTATTTAATCTAGTTTCGACGAAAAAAAAGCGCTGCTTAAGTCTCGGCCCTGGAATTCATAGAGATGTCTGAATGGGCTACACGTTGCCAGTTTTCCGTAATCGCCAAGTCAATCTTAAAAACACTTCTAGAGAAAAATGTCTTTCTTTATCGTAATTGCATTGCACATTTTTGCCATGCAGTTGCATCGTATTCAAAACATTGAAAATAAATCATCATACGCTCTATCATACGCTTCTGCGTTAGTAAATGATGACATGTTTACAGTTACCATGGTTATGTGATTTGTTTTTGTCGATGAGGTAACTGGATCCGATTGATGGCACTCGAGTTTTTAACATTTTCTTCTATAATTCGAGAACGGGTGGCGATATCGAGATGCGATTTTCACTTATATTTAGCAAATTTTATGGTGATTAATGGTCTGTGAAGTAAATAGTGCCGTTCCATTTAACTTATTTTCAAAAATCACAAAAATATGTAACCGCTGCAGATAACGCCCTCTAGCTTATTTATTTTAAACCAAGCGGTCTTACTGAAAATATCTTTAAAAGGAGCATAAAATGCTCTTTCAAACAACACCGAAAATATTCAAATCCGTTGAATGGTCTAGGAGATATTAGAATGTAAACATATGAAAACGCATTGGCCTCCCCCTCCCTTATTATGACAAATATGAGAAATATCGCAAAACAAAAGCGATGCGGTATTATCCAAGCTATTAAATAATGTTGTCAAAGTTATAGCTCATCGTCTAAGTTTCTGAGATAGCGGGAACTTTACGTTTCTCAATCGCAGTTACGCCCCCTAGCGGTCGAATTTCGAACTTCAAAATAATTTCCAGCTATTTCTCTTGGTCACTTTGCTTACAAAGATTTTTTTCCCAAACCTCTACGCCTTAACGTTCTAGAGATACAGCCGCTCCGTACGCTTAACGGGACACCTGTATATCTATCAACACTCTAAACGATTATTCAACACCAAGTTTAGGAAATATTTAAAATATTGGTATAAAAATCTTTTGTTACTAATTTTCATTTTTATTTAGTTTTTGAACCTACCAACACTGACAATACGGAATATAAAAAAATTTTCAACGATTACAAAAACCTGGTTGATTTCATGTTGGGTAATTTTATGGAAGATATTGGAATTACACCTCAACAATTTGAAAATGCTTGCGCAAGAGGAACTCAGGGAGGAATTACCCTACAATTTGATCAAGTAAAATTAACATTTTTATTTACTCTTTATTTATTAATTTTTGTCATTTTTTTAAGACAATTTTTGAGCAAATATGGGCAGCAAACGATTTCGAAATGTTCAGAAGAATGATGACTCAAAGAAACGTCGAGTTACAACTTCAAGCTCTCGAGTTAATTGAGCAAAAATACGGAATAACTCCAAACGTTTTTGTACCAGAAAAACGCGATGTCGCCCAATCAAGCAGATCAAAAACCCCGGAAATGATTTTTCCCGGAAAATTAGAAGAAGAAATCATGAAAGAAGTCGCCGAATCATTTAAAAAACTCGAAAACACCCAACAAGAAACCATAAACGATAATTTAGATTTTCTCGAAGAGAAGCAAATTTTAGAGGAAAAGTTGAAAACTATTGAAAAGTCTTCACCAATACAAGAAAAAAATTTATCTGAAATCGACACTAAAAAAGAAATTGAATCAAAAGCAGAAGAATCGAAAACTGTTTCAAAACCTAGTGTTGAAGTTGATAGTTTGGAAATGAAAAAGAGACAAGAGTATCTTCGCGCACAAAGGGATAAACTGGTTGCTTTGAAGAAAGAGGCAAGAAAGAAGCATCTTCAAGTAGAAGAAAGCGTTGTTGAAACAAAGCAGAAAATTAAAGAGCGGCCAAAATCGGCGAAAAAAGCCGCCGAATCAGTTTTGGATGGACATAAAGTTAATTTGGAACCTCAAGAATTAGCTTTGAGAAAAGCTTTAGTTCAGAAACTAAAAAATGAAGTTATTTCTAAAGCTAATAATTAAATATTTATTTAATTAAATATTTTAATAAGATTTTTTTAAGATAAATATTTTTAAATAGGACTATTAATATAAATATGAAGGCTTTAATGGCTGGTGTTAATTGAACTAAAACTAGAGCTAACACTAGAACTACCAGTACACTTAGAATTAAAAACGCGAGTAGTTCTAGGTTTACTGTTAGTTCTAATTTTAGTTCTGGACTATTAATGTTGTAATCAAAAAATTTTTGTCAGTCCGTGCTATTTTAAAGAATGTTGCTGGTTGTTGATGTTGTAATATTAGAAAAAATAAGATTGAAAATTGGGGATAATGAGGTAATTAGAAACAAAAAACACCCCCTTATTAAATAACTTATAATACTTAATATTTTACAAATTACAAGTAGATATCTTAAAAAATAATTCTAACAAAAATATATAAATTATATACAAAAATACATTTTTCTTTCTTCTTAATTTACTCCAGACTTTTTATAACCCTACAAAAAAATATTATTTATAAAGGAAATAATGTAAATTATGACTAACTGTGTTGTATGGTTTATGTTGTAGGCAAATGGTAAACAATGAATGTTTTTAGTTACAGCGAATGAGGGATACAGTTTGATACTGATTGTTAATGACACGACGCATGCGGTGGGTCAACAAGTTTAAACGCGTTACTAATCAGTGCGCCTGTTTTTAAATATATCTCTCTTAATTGTAAAGAAGAATCAAAAAATCATCTATTTTGTACTCATCAACATTCCAATCAGGATTGCAATCTTGCAACACGGCAAGGGCGTCGCCAGAGAGGGGCCGTTGCCCCCCCCTAGAGGTAGATTCGAAAAAAAATTAAAACACAATAAATAAATATACATCTCGAGTACTGAACAACTATCGAATTGGATGCCATATTTTGATCTGGAAACCAAGGAAGTTCAAGAAGTATTCCTCGGATTCGTCAAACTTGATGCTTTGGATGCGAAATGTATTGCAAAAGCAATAGATGAGTTTTCGGCAGAAGAAGATCTTGATCCGGACAAATGTGTTGGTTTAGGATTTGACGGTTATTCGACGATGTCCGGGAAAGAAGGTGGTGTTCTAGCAATCCTACGCAGAAAATATAAAAAAGCTTTGTGCTTTCATCAAAGGAAGGTACCATCAAAGATATTATTACATTTTTTCAAGAATCAGTTTTGAGACGCAAATTAATACCAAATATTTCCAAGCTTTGCGAAACAAGGTGGAGCGGGAAACACAAAAATACTAATGTTTTTAATGAGAATTTTCCAATTATAATGAAGGCCTTTGAAACCTCGTCACGGGAAGAAAATAAGAATAAATAATGCGACTAGAAAAAATACTTATCAGCTCCATGCAGCAGCTTCTAGAGTTTCGTTTATTCTAGCTTTATTTTGATAGCCAAATACTCGGCTATGATGGAACCTGTGGTAAACGTGCTCCAATCCGTAGTTTTCAATGCAGTCCAGGCATCCTAGCACATTAGCCGCCTTTTGGAATTTATAGAAAACCACCGTAACGGTCCAGAAAACGTCACAAATGGAATTATTGGGACGCTACTATCGTTGCAGAAAAACGTGGACTGGGAGAAGACATGAAGTCCTTGCCCCGTATTGTTGAGAGACAACAACATCAGAACAACCACCCAGCAGCAAGCCCCCCAGAATTCTGGCGGAGGTCTTTAATAATACCATACTTAGACTCGATTATTAATTCTTTTGAAGTTCGCTTTTCTAAAGAAAACACCCCGTCATTTTCCTTATGTAAATTACACTCAGCTCAAATGTTAGACATGTCCCTTGAAGACCTCGTAGAAGCTGGTGAAGTCTTTTCCCAATTTTACAATTTATCAAATATCAACATCGAAATCGAACTATGGAAAAAACTATGGCAAGATAAACCTGACTCAAAAGAATTAAGTGTGGTGGATGTTAGAAAAGATGCCGACATTTTTTTCCCTGAAACGAGAAAAGCCTTTGTAATTTTGATTATATGTATTGAGAAAACCTTCCTTTCCTTTAAAAGAGAAATATTGTGTTTTCTCAATACATATAATTAATATTATAAAGATGAACCTGGAGATGAATATCGCTAATTTATAATGAACGATCTTTTAGCAGCTTGAGGACAATAAAACCTGGCTTAGAAGCACTATGGCAGAATGTCGTCTCAATGGTCTTCCCATGATGAATGTGGCTAGGAAGCATATTTTTGAAAACTTTGAGGGTTTTATTAATAATCTGGTTGACCAATTCGCGAAGAAGCCACGAAAATGATGTTTTAAATAATTTGGTGTTATTTTTCAATTTTTTTGTCGTGGAAAACGACAAAAAACGACGAAATGGAGAAGAGGAAGAACTAAACACTGCAGACTTTAACACAGGAACGTTCAACGTCAAGGTCATACCACGAACATTGTCGTTCCATCCTCGAAGTGATCACAAGGTAAATGTCTGACAAAGGTAAACCTGACAAGAATATTGGTGTATAACCAGAGCAGTTACATTTGGGTAAAGAGGTGATAAGGTAAAACATACAAGTTAAGCTTGACTTTTCTTGATCCAATTGACCTCTTCATTTCTCTGATTCTCAACATGAAGGTTACGCGGTTTAGATACCTTTTAGGTTGGACTCAATGATGGCGTTTTAACCACAATTTAGTATTCATTTCAATGTCAAAAAGTTATTTCTAGGCGACTTAAAATTGAGAAATGATTTGAAAAATTGTTTTTTGGGCAGCATAATGAAGAGAAAATAAATGTAATATAAAGGTTTTGGATACTCAAGAAATCATGTGGTATCCACGTCATCACAACACCTCCAGAGTCTGCCTTATCATATTATTAGATTATATTTATCTATATACGTCTCTTTCAAACCATGAATTTAGATCGAATTTAGCGCAAACTATAAGAATCAGAGCCGGAGCTGACTAAATAAGGTCATCGGGTAGCTTTTATTCTTTACCCTTTCCATAAATAAAGAATTTTTAATCAGTCATGGCAGTGCAATGTGTAACTTTTGAGTAAGATCGCCCAATCATTCTTTTACCGCATCAAAAACTTTACGCACATATAGTAAATGACCGTTTCAACACCATGAATACAAAATTCAAATCACCAAGAATTGAAGTCAAGAGACTATCAACAGCGTCGTGTGTTTGTCGTATTGATGCATAATGATGAGATGATGCCATAAAAATTCAGAATACAATGGTAATACCAGGAAGTTATTCTCTTGCGACGAACATCTAATATTTTAGATGGAATCGGTATCTCCTTGTCCTTATCAGAATTTTTATACGAACCATTATCATCAATAAACGTAGCCTAAATATTTTAAAACCCCCATAAAACTCATATTTGTCCCTACTCAGAAGAAGATTTATGATGGATAAAGGATCAAACACCAATTCTAGGATTTCCAAACACTTATCTAAAATGGGGCATTTACGCGCATACAAGATCCAAATCACCAAGAATTGAAGTCCAGAGACCATCAAGAGCGTCATGTGTTTGTCGAATGCATGCATAATGATAAAATGATGCCATAAAAATTCAGAATATAACTACAAGATCATGCCACGATCATTGTCGTTCCATCCTCTGATTACAAGGTAAATGTCTTGTCAGGTTTACAGAATATTGGTGTATAACCAGAGCAGTTACATTTCGATAAATAACAGACAAGTTAAGCTTCACTTCTCTTTGTCCAATAGACCTCTTCATTTCTCTCAGTCTCAACATCAAGGTTACGTGGTTTAGGTATTTTTTGGATGGACTCAATGATAGCGTTTTATCCACAATTTGGTATACATTTCAATGTCATAGAGCTATCTCTAGTCGTCTTAAAATTAAGAAATATTGAGGAATATAATGAAGAGAAAATAAATGTAATATAAAGGTAGTTAAATACGCAAGAAATCATGTATATGCAAGTCATCACAAGACCTCCAGAGTCTGCCTTATCATATTCACGTCTCTATCAAACCAGACAGGAGCTGACATCAATAAAGAATTTTTAATCGAATGGATTAAAAAATGATGAGATGATGGCATAAAAATTCAGAATACAACGGCAATACCAGGAAGTTATTCTCTTGCAACGAACATCTGATATTTTAGATGGAATCGGTATCTCCTTGTCCTTATCAGAATTTTCATATGAACCATTATCATCAATCAGCGTAGCCTAAATATTTTAAAAACCATCATAAAACTTATATTTGTCTCTACTCAGAATAAGATTTTGTTATGGATAAAGGATCAAACACCTATTCTAGGATTTCCAAATATTTATCTAGAAGGGGGCATTTACACGCATACAAGATTCAAATCACCAAGAATTGAAGTCCAGAGACTATCAACAGCGTCGTGTGTTTGGCGAATTGATGCATAATGATGAGATGATGGCATAAAAAATCAGAATACAGCGGCAATACCAGGTAGTTATTCTCTTGCAACGAACATCTGATATTTTAGATGGACATTTACACGCATACAAGATTGAAATCACCAAGAATTGAAGTCCAGAAACTATCAGCAGCGTCGTGTGTTTGTCGCGTGACAGGATGGCATAAAAAATCAGAATACAGCGGCAATACTAGGAAGTTATTCTTTTGCAAACGAACATCTGATATTTTAGATTAGATGGAATCGGTATCTCCTTGTTCTGTTATCAGAATTTTTATACGAACCATTATTATCAATGAGCGTAGCCGAAAAATTGTATAAACCCACATAAAACTCATATTTGTTCCTACACAGAATAAGATTTGTTATGGATAAAGAATCCAACACCTATTCTAGGATTTCCAAATACTTTTCTAAACTGGGACATTTACACGCATACAAGATTCAAATCACCAAGAATTGAATTCCAGAGATTATCAACAGCATTAATGCATAATGACGAGATGATGGCATACAAATTCAGAATACAACGGCAATGCCATAAAGTTATTCTTTTGCAACGAACAACTGATATTTTAGATGGAATTGGTAAAACATAAAACTTATATTTGTCCCTACTCAGAATAAGATTTATGATGGATAATGGATTATTCTAGGATATTCTAGGATTTCCAAACACTTATCTAAAATGGGGCATTTACGCGCCAAGAATTACCAAGAAATCCAGAGACCATAAACAGCGTCGTGTGTTTGTCGAATGGATGCATAATGATGAGATGATGCCATAAAAATTCAGAATACAACGACAATACCAGGAGGCTATTCTCTTGCAACGAACATCTGATATTTTAGATGGAATCGGTATCTCCTTGACCTTATCAGAATTTTCATACGAACCATTATCATCAAACAGCGTAGCCTAAATATTTTAAAATCCCCATAGAACTCATATTTGTTCTAGTCAGAATAAAATTTTTTATGGATAATGGATCAAACACCTATTCTAGGATTTCCAAATACTTATCTAAACTGGGACATTTACATGCATACAAGATTCAAATCAACAAGGATTCAAATCCAGAGACCGTCAACAGCGTCGTGTGTTTGGCGAATTGATGCATAATGATGAGATAATGGCATAAAAATTCAGAATACAACTACAAGGTCATGCCATGATCATTGTCGTTCCATCCTTGAAGTGATCACAAGGTAAATGTCTTGTCAGGTTTATAGAATATTGGTGTATAACCAGAGCAGTTACATTTGGGTAAAGAGTAAAATATACAAGTTAAGCTTCACTTCTCTTTATCCAATAGACCTTTTCATTTCTCTGATTACCAACATCAAGGTTACACGGTTTAGGTATCTTTTGGGTGGACTCAATGATAGCATTTTATCAATAATTTGGTATTCATTTTAATGTCATAGAACTATCTATAGTCGTCTTAAAATTGAGAAATGATTTGAAAAATTGTGTTATGGGCAATATAATGAAGAGAAAATAAATGTAATATAAAGGTAGTTAGATACGCAAGTAATCATGTGATATGCAAGTCATCACAAGATCTCCAGAGTCTGCCTTATCATATTCACGTGTCAATCAAACCATGAATTTAGATCAAATTTTGCACAAGCTGTAAAAATCAGAGCCGGAGCTGACATAAATAAAGAATTTGTAATCGAATGAATTAAAAAATGATGAGATGATGGCATAAAAATTCAAAATACAACGGCAATACCAGGAAGTTATTCTTTTGCGACGAATATCTGATATTTTAATTAGATGAGGGAGTTTGATCCATGTTGACCAGTTATTTTTTATATAATATAAATTCAATAAAAAGCAATACTTTTTCTGGTCTTTTTCAATTTATTGTCTAACCGGTTTCGGCTTACGCCATGATCAGAGACATTAGAAATATAAATTAGATTTTAGCAACTTATTTTGCTTATTTACTTAAGTTTATTAGTATTGTTTTAACTTTTAACGTGAGTTTTAATGTGTTCATATTTATAATTTTAACTTGTATACCTTTGTGAAGCCGTTTACATGAACAACTAAATGGAAAATATGTTGCTAAAATCTAATTTATATTTCTAATGTCTCTGATGATGGCGTAAGCCGAAACCGGTAAAACAATAAATTGATAAAGACCAGAAAAAAAATCCTTTTTATTGAATTTATATTATATCTGATATTTTAGATGGAATCGGTATCTCCTTGTCCTTATCAGAATTTTTATACGAACCATTATTATCAATCAGCGTAGCCGAAATATTTTATAAATCCCATAAAACTTATATTTGTCCCTACTCAGAATAAGATTTATGTAGGATAATGGATCATTCTAGGATATTCTAGGATTTCCAAACACTTATCTCAACTGGGACATTTGCACGCATACAAGATTGAAATCACCAAGGATTGAATCCCAGAGACCATCGACAGCGTGATGTGTTTATAGAATAAATGCGTGAAGTCGGTTTTTCGAAAAAATATTTGTTCACCTTCACGTATTTGCAAACAAGCAAAATCCAATACACTTACCAAAAGGAATTGGATCCTTAAAGAGTAACTGTTTGGTGTATGTTGTGGTCTGAAGGTGTAACTCGCCCAACCTTTTTTGAAAATAATGCGAAAAATGCTTGTTATAGTCAATGGTGCGCGCCATAGGAACATAATAACGAACTTTTTGTGGAACCAATCGGAAAATATGGACATGTTGATGGTGCCACGTGCCACACACTTCAGCAGAAAGAATTGCGCTACACGTACCATATTTCCAGACTGCATCATTTCACGACATTAATTGAATCACCTTTTAATAGTCTTAGGGCCGGTTTATCAATGTCGAGTTAAATCTGTTAGATACGTAACTCATGGATAAACTTGCCTAACAGATAACCTCAGTGAACCGTTTATCCAGCAACTTTCTACCCGGCAGGCAGCAACCTACGAGATAGAACATGGATGGTACCCCTGAGTGTTAACATTAGAAACGGAAATGAAACATAATTGGTGAAATTTGAATAATTGACTTTAGTTTATGAAGTTGATATAAACAGCTGATCGTGTTTTGGAGGTTATCATTCCTGTGTGCTTTCGGTATTGTGCTTTGTTTTCGAAAACCTCTTTTATAATGGAATTCCTACATGAATATTTATTAGACAGCGATAAAGATGAGGATATTGTCCAACTCTTAAATTATAAACGACGACCATATATTATAAAAGAAAGACAAAAGTCAAAAACACTTTGAGGAGTTGGACGACCACGTTTTTTTGTTAGATTTCGGTTAAAAAAGGACACAGTTTTGTTAAAATTGGTTAAAATTAAGACGAGATTATATTATATTAGATTATAGATTATATTATAATTTTTTTTTAAATTACTAGATTATTATTTATTTTCTATAACATTTTTATATTCGTTTGTCAAATCCATCAGCAAGTGCTTTTCTGCTGTACTAAAATTTGATGATCTTTTCTTGCTCTTGCTTATCCATCACCACAATTATAAGCTTAATTTATTTTTGACGTTATATTTTGATTTTATTGTCATTTCCTTTCACCAAGCAACCAAACTTGTGCTCACATTTTTTTAACAATATCTAATAGGTAAACCCTTAACCAGTACTTCAATCTGGTGGGTATCCAAATGTCATATTTATCTATAAGATTACCCTAAACTACGGGTGGATAAACGATTCGTCGACGTTATCTATCAGCTACAATTTTAATTGACAGATAAATCGTCTTAACTAGATATTGATAGACCGGCCCTTAATAGCCTATCGAATTTTTTAGGTCCATTACTATCATCTTTTAGTTAAATTTATCTTATAGATAAACCCATCTACTAGCCAATCAGAGCGCGTAAGATAGAAGTAACTGTGGTAATAATCTCTTAGATAGCTTAACCAGAAGATGGTAGTAACGAGCCTTAGTTATTTGCCCACAACATGTACTACATTTTTCCAAAACATACAAAGAATTATCAAAAGGATTAATTAATTACCCATCGTTTCCTGTTGAATCTCTACTTTATAAGTAGGATTGTCATAAGCAGCCTGAGTAACTCTTGGTGGTGGTGTAATAGATGCTTTATTAGTACTGTGCCGCCTGATCAATATTAATAAAAGTACCAAAGTACTTAATATAGCGATAGTTGCTAAAATCGCAACGAAAACTAACGATCCATAATAATCGCCTCTTTCTTCAGAAAGATTTCCTGATAACTTATCTATAGATGAAGCTCCCAAAGTAGGTGCTGATCCCGGTTTCGTGATAAAATCTTGAACATTACTGGTTTTTATCCTTCCACTTGTCAAATAAACTTCAAGCCATAATCTGTATCGCGTACCCGGTTTTAGATCCATAATAACCGTTTTCGAAGGGGAATCTCGTTTGGCCATTTTAAACGTGCTATAATCACCTTTACCCGAATCACTTTGATAAATCGCTCGGTAAATATTAACATATTTATCTTCGGGGTATGGAACTCCTTTCCATGAAATTTCCACGCTCGTCGGTTTAACTTGGAGAATTTCTAAGGAAACGTTAAAACCGTACGCGTCCATTTCACTTCCGGTTGTGAACGAGATCATGTGGTCCGATCTCAATTCGGTTTTTTGGTTGGTAAATGGAATGAAATAAATTCCAACTTCGTAAGTTGTTTCAGGCCTTAAATTTTCTAAAGTATAACTTGTAACGGCTCTATGAATCAAAGTTGTGGCATCAAAAATTTTTCCATCGGTTACTTTATATCTTAATTGTACCCCGTCTATAAATTGGAGTTCGTTATCCGCGAATTTTCTCCATGAAACCACAGCCCAAGTTGAATTCACTTCAGAAACGTTTAAATCAGGTTCGATTGGAATCATTGAAGGTAGCAGTTTGGGGGTTTTAATTTGATAAATTTTGCTTGTTAGAACATTGTGGACATCATTAAACGTTACGGAGACTTTTATTTGGTACGATTGATCTGGAATTAATTCGGAAAGTTCAAATTCTAATTGTGAGGTTGCTAATATATCGTTTGGTGGTGCAAAAGTTTCCGATTTCCACTCGTTCACATTTTTTGATCTGAAATAAAAAAACAAAATAAATTAAGTTCATTCATTTAAATTTTAGTGGATTTACCGTGTGTTTGTATATCTAACTTCAACAGTTCCAAGAAATCCAACAAAAATAGTAGGAATTTCGATGGATAATTTAACAGTATGAGGATCGATTGCTTCTAAATGTTGAATAAGAATCTCTTGATGTTGCTGAGGTGGAAATGCGGGTATTTGTGGAAACGTCGGTGAAAAACTAAGACCTAAAACACGTTCAGACGAATGTTTTTAATTAAATTTTTTTTAACCAACCTGGTGACGAAGAAGCGTTTCTTTGTGGTTGTCCGGAAAATATATTTGGCTGTGGTACGTATAAAGGTCCGTTTTGTGGGGGATAATTTTGTGCGAACTTTTGGAATTGTTTGTGGCTATTGATTTGTTGGAGGAAGTGCTCAATGGGAATGCTATTTGGTTGTCCTTGCTCGATGGGAATGTTATTTTGGGGTCCTTGTTGGTGATTATTTAATAAATAGAAAGGGTTATCGTGTATTGTATTTGGATTAACGTATTGTTTATTTAATGGGTTTTGAACGTTATGAACTTCTAATACAGTTCCAGAAGGATAATTTGTAATCTCGGGATTTTGGTGAATAAGTTGAAGAAACTCATCGGGTGTCCCATGTTGCGCATGAATATGAACCGTGTTAGGAGGGGGCTGATTCATTTTATTATAATTATTAACGGGGTATTGAGGAATATAATTTTCATCGATATTTTCCTCTTCTTTATTTGATGAATTAGTTTCTTTGTTAGGAGGGGGTTTATGGTCTTTAGGATTTAATCTTTGGTTGGATGATGTTTCTTTCTGTTCTTTTCCTGGCTTATATTTTCCCGTTTTATTTTTTCCGTTAACGTAATAAATGTTCTCATCCAAAGAAATGTTGGGTTTTAACGGCTGCACGCCGTTTTCATAAATCTGTAGGGGACCTTGAGTTTTCGAAGGCGGTTTGTGCGTGGGGAAAGGATCGAAAGCGGGATCAAAACTGTCAGTCGTATCTTTGGTGTCTAAAGGTTTTTTCGATTTTACCGATTTCTCCGTCGACGTGGTTGTTTTCTCTGAAAACGTATACATCGACGTTTCAATGATTTAAAAGCAAACTAAGCTTCCCACAACCTTTTGAAACCAAAATTAAGTTATTTACATTTCAACAAATTGTCAGTCAATAGTCCGAATGCGTTTAACTTTGCCCGTGATAAGGAATAGGACGATTGTGTAGCTCAGGAATCGGTCCCAAGCCCGGATTAAGGAGGAGAGTTAACAACCCATTCCAGTAAAACCTAACTGTATCGAAACCCACAACCAAGTCTTGGATTGGACTGGATTGGTCTCATCTACGATGATGACTGCGAACGAAAATGGATCATAAGATGGAAAATGGAACGTGAGGACGACAAAGGGCTGGGCGAAGGTGTCAAGGATACAAAAACCAATTTGATATTGTACAGTGGCAAACATACAGGCACAAGGGAACAATTATCAATGTACTTAGCCTAACAGAAGAGCAGGACCAGAACATAAAAGATCTCTAGAAATGATATTACAATAGTACTTCGGGTTAATATTTGGGCACCACAACGAAAATTGTGGATTTGTGATTAGATTTGCAACAAGAATGAACTTCATTATCAGTTCAACATGCTTCCCACTCCTAAATATAGATATAGCGACATGGGTCTCACCAGACGGTACTACCAAGAACCAAATAGACCAGGCGTTAATTGGTAATAAATAAATAACATTTGGAAAAATTATTTCGAAAACCTATTAAGCATAGAAACTGATTTAGAAATGGATAACAGATCACCAAACCAAAGAGTGGGCGTGCCATGGAACCTATATCCATCAGTGAGGTTCAAAGGTTCAATTACTGAGCAAAGAACATTGGTCGAAATTTCTTCTACTTAGTCTGCCGTTTTCCTACGAAGATTAGTGATCCAACTGGGTATAATGGTGAGTGATACTGCACCTCTGAATATTTCAATATGTACATTCGAACCACCATCACAGATCTTTCAGTATTAAAAAAAAGCTGTCTAAGAAAGGATTCCATAAGACTAAACCTATAAGAGGTAAGGATAGAGAACTGTTGACAACACAAGAAGATCAACTCAAGCGGTGGAAAGGACATTTTTTCTAAGTTCTAAATAGAGGATAAGAAAGAATGTTGGCATTAGCATAAAGGTACTAACTCGTAATGAAATTAAAACAGCCCTCAAGCAAATCAGTAATGGAAAAGTACCAGATGAAGACAACATTGCACCTGAAGTACCAAAACAAGACATTGAGATTACTGTTAGATTATTTGCTACTTGAGAAGATATGGACAGAAGACAAGTTACCTAAAGACAGGAAATATGGATTAATAGTGAATCTATCAAGAATCGTATCCCACTTCTGTCAGTGCCAAGTAAAGTTCTCTCAAGAATAATCCTGAATCAGATTAAGTATTCTGTGGAAAATCATTTGAGGAGGGAACAAGCACGATTTCGTTAACATCGAAGTTGAAACATTCATGTACCTTTGTAGCATTGTTGAGAAAGATGGAGGTATGTGGCAGAGAAGTATGTGAAGAAACGAATACAGAAAGCAAATGGAGCTTTCGTGCAATTGTGCTCACAGATCTTTGAGTATTACAAAAATACTGTCTAAGACGGGATTCCATAATACTAAACCTATAACAGGTAAGGTTGGACAACTGTTGACAACACAAGAAGACCAACTCAACCGCTGGAAAGAACATTTTTTCGAAGTTCTAAATAGAGGATAAGAAAAAGAGGAAGCAATCCAAGGAAATGAGGCAGTCAATGATGCTGGTATTAGCATAAAAATACTAACTCGTAATGAAATTAAAACAGCTCTCAAGCAGATCAGTAATGGAAAAGTACCAGGTGTAGACAACATTGCACCTGAAGTACCAAAACAAGACATTGAGATTACTGTTGGATTATTAGTTACTTGAGAAAATATGGATAGAAAAGAAGTTACTTAAAGACTGGAAATATGGATTAATAGTAAATCTACGAAGAACGACATCCGTCTTCTATCAGTGTTAAGTAAAGTACTCTCAAGAATAATCCTGAATCGGATTAAGGATTCTGTGGAAAATCATTTGAGGAGGGAGCAAGCACGATTTCGTTAACATCGAAGTTGAAACATTCGTGTACCTTTACAAAAATGCTGTCTAAGAATGGATTCCATAAGACTGAACCTATAAGAGGTAAGGATAGAGAACTGTTGGCAACACAAGAAGACCAACTCAAGCGGTGGAAAGAGAGGAACCAATCCAAGAAAATGAGGCAGTCAATGATGCTGGCATTAGCATAAAGGTACTAAATCGTAATGAAATTAAAACAGCCTTCAAGTAGATCAGTAATGGAAAAGTACCAGGTTGTAGACAACGTTGCACCTGAAGACAAGTTATCTAAAGACAGGAAATATGGATTAATAATGAAACTATCAAGAATGACATCCCACTTCTGTCAGTGCCAAGTAAAGTACTCTCAAGAATAATCCTGAATCCGATTACGGATTCTGTGGAAAATCATTTGAGGAGGGAGCAAGCACGATTTCGTTAACATCGAAGTTGAAACATTCGTGTACCTTTGTAGCATTGTTGAGAAAGATGGAGGTATGGGGCAGAGAAGTATGTGAAGAAACGAATACAGAAAGCAAATTGAGCAATTGTCGTCACAGATCTGTGAGTAATACAAAAATGCTGTCTAAGAATGCATTCCATAAGACTAAACCTATAAGAGGTAAGGATAGAGAACTGTTGACAACACAAGAAGACCAACTCAAGCGGTAGAAAGAACAATTCTTCGAAGTTCTAAATAGAGGATAAGAAAGAGAGGAACCAACCAAAGAAATTGAGGCAGTCAATGATGCTGGCATTAGCATAAAGGTACTAACTCGTAATCAAATTAAAACAGCCTTCAAGCAGATCAGTAATGGAAAGGCACCAGGTGTAGACAACATTGCACCTGAAGTACTAAAACAAGACATTGAGATTACTGTTGGATTATTAGTTACTTGAGAAAATATGGATAGAAGAAAAGTTACTTAAAGACTGGAAATATGGATTAATAGTAAAACTACCAAGAACGACATCCCTCTTCTGTCAGTGTCAAGTAAAGTACTCTCAAGAATAATCCTGAATCGGATTAAGGATTCTGTGAAAAAGCATTTGAGGAGGGAGCAAGCACGATTCCATGAACATCGAAGTTGCGTTGATCTTATCAATACATTCCTCATAATTATTGAGCAGAGTGCACTTTATTTGACTTTTATTGACTTTGAGAAGGCCTTTGACTCCTTAAATGGAAGAATCATGTGGTATACTCTGGAAGAATATGGAGTTCCTCTGAAGATCATCAGTGTTATCAGGAAGATGTATGAGTGTCAAGTCAGTCAAATTGTGGGGTGAGACAAGGATGTATTCTGTCATCCATACTGTTCCTCCTGTTATTGGATAGAGTGATGAAAAAGGTTACGGAAGAAACAAGAAATGGTATTCAGTAGGGGGTGTAAGATAGACTTGAGGACTTGAATTTGCAGACGGTGCCTATTTTCACAGAGATCTTGAGACTTGGAGGTAAAATTGGGAATACTGCAAAATGATGCAGAAGTAGCTGGACTAAAAATCAATGCTCAGACCAGTGGAAACATTCGTGTACCTTTGTAGCACTGTTGAGAAAGTTGGAGGGGCAGGGAAGTATATGAAGAGACGAATATAGAAAGCAAATGGAGCCTTCGTGCAATTATACCTTATCTGGCGAAATTATCACATTTCAAAAAGAACAAAACTTGGCTTCTTCAACAGCAACGAAATGTCAGTCATTCTGTATGGGTGTAAAACGTGGAAGTCCTGTTTGATACTGGATTGGTCACAAGCTAAGAAAGCATCATGGAGCAGTTGAGATGTCTGCGCTTGACTGGAACTCCCAGGGAGCACAGAAATGAGGACGCCCAAAAAGGGCGTGAAAGAGAATTGTTGAGGAAGAAGCAATGGAAGACGGAAAAACGTGGTGAGAAGTGAATGCTTGCTGCCAACCGGACCAGATGGAGAGCTTTTACACCTGCCCTATACTTCATAGGAGCAAATAAGTCAAGTAAGTCAAGATATAATAATGAACTGTATCATGATTATAAGATCCCGCCATTATTGGAGTTCACCAGACTCCAGCATTTAAGTTATGACCAGCAAGGAGTGAGACCAAAAGGGCAGCCGAGAATTAGATAGGAGGATCCAGTCGACCGGAACACTAAGGAAATAATCAGGAAAATGAATTGAAAAAAACAGGGAAAATTGAAGGCAAAGGTTGGTTCGATTCGGGCTGTAGAACCATAGAGAGAGAGAGAGAGAGAGTCCGAATAAGTCCGTAACTATTTGAACCACAAAATCAAAAGCCCTTCCTACTATATACACTAATATTTACATAGCAATTTTTAATTAAATCCTTACCTGGTGGTAAATCCAATTTTTGACACATCCACTCCAAACAACAATCATCTCCAGGTCGATGTTTTAAAGTGGCGTGAGATGGTGGACACGGTAAATTTCTTGGTGGTGTTGGCGGAACGGGGGCACAAACGTTTTGGCATTCAACTTCGCCCATTTCGCAATAACACCGCTTTTCGCAACCTGTTAAATTGGTCGGTATTTCTTGGTGGTTATCGTAGGTTCGTCCATCATACATGCAAGACCCGTTATATTTGCATTTGAGTTGATCGGGACAACATTTAGGTGGGATCGGTTTAAAATCAGCTGGAACAGTTTCCCATTCGATACAATTTGGGTCAATAATGTCAGTTCCGAAATAAGTTGGACATTCTAATTTTAAACATTTAACGCCCGTTGTTTTACAAACACAAATCGATTTACAACCATCGTTAAATTCTTGTCCTATTTTGTAATTTTTTCCATTAAAAGTGCAATTATTTTGTGTTAAAGGCGCTGATTTCGTACTTCCTTCAATATCCATGATATCATCCTCATTTTCGATGCGGATAAAATTAACTTTGTCTTCGATTCCGTGAAGATAATCTCCGGGAAGTAAAGTAAACGTTTTCCAGTTGATTTTATCGTTGCTTAAATCGATGAGAGGGCGCATTTCGTCTGAGTCTGTATCAAAATCAACTTTAATTGTTGTTTTATTTATGAATTTTGCTGAGATTATTTTTCCTTTTGTGTGGTTCACATCGCATAAAACTTTTTTACAACAAGTATTATCCGGATCGGGAACTAGAAAGCACTTTTTCGAGATCTTCTTCGGCGATTCACAGCTGACAAGACAAACTTGGTTACGCAAAAATTTCTATACATGATTTGAGAACAAACCTATCTTTACAGGTAATCTTCCCACCCATTGCACAATGACATACTTTTTCGCAATCATTTCGTACAGTCTCTCCACGATTGTAAGTTTTATTATTATATGAACAAAATTCGATTGCTTCGGTAGCTAAAAATGAATTTTTATTATATTTTTTTTAAAGGGTATTGCTGTGTAAACTTAAGACCGAAATTTAAAGTATTTACAAAGTTATAACACGTAGAAGAAAGTGAGATTTCAATTCTCTTTCAATGCGGTTATCTCGAAACCATTTTTTTTTTCAATTTGTGGGAAACAGAACTTAAAATTTATTCAACCTATTGAGCTGCAATTTTAACATATTATTCTATAAAATATGAAACAAAAAGTATCTTCACGCAAGTCTTGTGTTAATAACTCCGACCATTTCTGTTGCATATGTGGTAATAAAGTTATCGGGCATATTTTGGAAAACAACTTGGACAACTAGAAAAATTTTGAGCCCTACACAAAGTTTGTTAAAATACCGATGGCATGGAAAGAGCCAAAAAACCACCTTGATGATGGCTACTTTTATGTTGTGAATGTAAAAGGTATGAACCGATACAAGAAGCATTCTTGGGTTTACCCAAAAGTACAATCCGCTAAGCCATCAACAATTTACTTCCTTATCAGACGATTGCTATGATGATGTTGAAATGTTAGATAGAATAAAAGCAATAACGAAAGTGAATTCGAAGGTTGCAGTTCTACACCACTTCAAAGTTTTTCTCATGGCGAGCTAAACGACTTGATTGGAGATTAATAATAATAATAATAATAATAATATTCCTTTATTACCCAACAGGCATAGCCCAAAAAAGGATAACAATATATATTACATAATGTAATAATACAATAATATGTATCTGTATGTGAAGAAAAAAAAACAAAAATTACAAAAAATTCAAGAAATCAACAATTACCGAATTATAAAGAAAATAAAGATAAAAACTAAATAAGTGAATTTACATGCAGGTGATCACTGATTGTCTGGAATCCTGTTGCCCACTTTACTGAGAGTGATGACGAATACGCAGCTATATCTTGAGTTACTCCTTGGAATAACAAACCCTAGTCGCTGAAGAATGAAAGGACAATAGATGTTATATTCGATAACCTTTTGTAGAAACCTTTCATAAAACGCGTTTCTTCTGTTCATCAAGGAAACCATATTGTGTCGTGCAAGCAAATCATTTTGTGGTATACCTCGCTCAGGGTAAATTCCATCAGATTTGTAAGAAAGAAATTTTAAGAATCTACGATGGACTCGATCAAGGCTTAAGAACTCACACGCATATAAGGGACTCCAAATCAGGCAAGCGTATTCTAACTTACTCAAAACGTAAGCACAATACAAGGTCTTTAATAAACTGACACTTGTGAAATATTCAGACATACGCATCACAAAACCTAGGGACCTAACGGCCTCCGAACACACATTATTGATATGTGTTTTAAAATGAAGCTTGCATCAAACAGGAGCCCCAAATCCCTGTACTCCTCAACACGACTCAAAGTGCTGCCAGCAATATTGTAAGGATATATGCATGGTGACGAGCATCGGCTATAAGTAAGTACACAACATTTATCTATATTAAAGTTAAGTTTGTAGGTCTTACACCATTGCACTATTGTGTTTAAGTTGTGCTGCAGCTTATCTGCATCTGCCACCGATGAGACTTCGGCAACGATCTTGATATCATCAGCATATCCCAAAATCCGACAATCAATTTTTAGATGTAACTCATTTATAAAAAGAACAAATAATAGAGGGCCCAAATTTGATCCCTGTGGAACCCCTGAGGTAAGAGTGAACTCATTGTAAGCAACATAACATTTTCTGTTGCAAATAAGAGGCCAGAAGTTGAATTGCTGAAGGAACAAATCCGAAAGAGCTCAATTTATACAAGAGAATTCTATGGTCAATCAGATCAAAGGCTTTGGATAGATCCACCTGCCCACGTCTATCCAAGGTGCTACAGATAAACTCGGAAATCATAGCCAAGTTGGTAATTGTAGAGCGACCGGAAACAAAACCATGCTGGGAAGCTCACACAAAGGGGCACGTGCTGGTGTACATAAAAGAATATAATAACTTTTCAAATAGTTTAGCAAAATTGGAAATTATCGAAATTCTTGATCGTTTCCACCTTTCAGGAAATTCACAGGACGTAATGGACAAGTTAATAATAAATTTAAGAGGGCAAGCAAATATATAACGGCAATCTCTGACCATAAAACTTGGCAACAAATCATCTCCAGCAGTATGCTTATTAGAAAACGTTGCCATTAATTTAATTAGCTCCTCTTCTGTAGTGGCATGAAAAGAGTATGGCAACAGATTGAAATTATATTCAGTGAAAGTTCGGTCAGTAGATACAGTGTGAACAGCAGAAAACATGTTAGCAAAAGCATTTACAATATCTTGAGGATCAGCAAGAACATTGCTCTCACTCTCAATCAGATTACAGGGTATTCTTGTGGTACGTTTCTTAGCTCGGAGAAAATTCCATATACTGGACGGATCCGTCTTGATGGTATTTTGTATGTTGTTAAGATATTTAATGTAACTGTCGTTTATTTCCTTTTTTAACAACCTCCTTAGTCGGTTAAATTCATTATAAAATAAAAATTTTTTTGTTTTGATCCATTTTTTGTGATAGAATTTTTTGATATTAATATGTCTCTTTATTTCCGGCGAAAACCACGGTGGGTGAGAACTATTAGATTTGGTTTTAATAGGGACATGTGTATTAATTACGGAGTAAATGGCATCATAGAAGGCATCCAAAGCCTCATTGACATCGCTATGGGAAAGCAAAAAAGACCAATCATACTTAAAGAAGTGATCATATAATGCAGGGTAATTTGCTCGATGGAAGTCATATCGTAAATTATCAGAAGATGGGAACCGCTGTTGATTAGTAGGTGTAGAGTAGTGAACTTCCACTTCAAGACTGGGATGATAAGAATCTTCTGGTACAACTTTATTGTCAGCATTAGAGATCAACAAATCCAACATTCTGCCATCTTCATTCTTAACGTTATTGTACTGTTTGGCATTAAGAACACTTAAAAAATCAATAAAAGCTCTGGTTTTAATTGAATATTGACTAGTAGGTAAGATTAAATCGGGAAGATTGAAATCTCCAACCAATACAAAGAAATGGTTAATTATAATAGCCTCAAGAGCAGTAGTAAATGTCTCCATATCATCAGAAGATATATCGAGAGCAATGTAGACTAGTATGATTAAAATAGACTTCTTATTAATAAGACACCTACAGATTACTAAATCTATCATAGGTACTGTTGCACGAAGATGACTAGTATCGATAATGTCAAATGGTATGGTGTGTTTTAGTGCAATTAAAATTTATCTAAGAACTAATCTGAGGTTCGTGCGCCAAGACTAATAGAAAAACATTGCCTTCAACCTGGCGTATCAATAACATCTTATCTAACTAGAGAGATCGACATTCTTTCATATTTTAACAAGACGAATGATATCGTATATTATAATGACTTAATGATATTTTTGGACTTTTAAATTTAATGGTCCTTCCAGTAATTGGGCAGTAGCGCCAGAGATGATGTTGAAATTTGTTGTTGGGCGGCAAAGGGGATACACTAAATATATCTGTTTTCTTTGCCCGTGGGACTATCATGCGAAAAATGAACACTGGAGTAGAAAAGACTGGCCATCGAGAATGAAGATGACTGTAGGAAAAGCTAACATTATTTATTAACCGTTGATCGGTCGAGAAAAAAATCATTCTTTGGCTACTACATACAGGGGATTCTCAACCTATACGCATAAACTTGGGGATTTATTCCTCGAGACAAATAATGGGTAATAGGTGAAAAAAATTGTAGTAAAAGATTTTTAGTTTCATAGGTATCCGATATATGCGTCGACATCTAGATAAGGTGCTGCCTGGAAGATGAACAAATCGAGTCCATCTCGATCGCCCGACCTCAATGCTCTTAATTTTTATTTTTGGGGTTCCATAGTGTACGTCACCGAAGTTAATACTGAGCAAGGGTTGCGAAATCAGATACTGAGGTTTAGGCAGCGCTATCATATCATCTTCAAAGCGTACAGTCTTTGCATCCAGAAATCATCTTACACAGCAACACCAAACTATCTCATCTGTTTAGAACTGATATCACCATACTTATTTCATCTTCTGCAAAAAACTGTTTACATACATTTGAGTGTGCCGTTTGCTCATGTCTATCTGATTGCAAGAGTTGCCTGCACAAATGATGCATGGCGAAATTTAGTAACGAGATGAAGAATGACATGTACGGATCACACAATATTGAGGGAAATGTTGAGAGCATCAAAAAGATTCAGGTAGAACTCCGGGGAAAAAACGTCAGGTAGGCTTCCTCTGTTTCGTTTATCTAACCAAAATGTTCGACAAAGTAAGGATAAAAGAAGTAGAATAGGGCAAACATTACAAAGTATGTAATCTAAACTATGGTTACACCATGAATGATTACAAAATCAAGGTTGAGTGCTATGTAGATGATGTCGTTTTCTTGGCTGATACTGAAGATGGCATATAGTGGTTAACACAGGCATTTAACATTGCAGCTGGGGAAGTTAATACTGAGCAAGGATCAGATACAAACAGCTGCCGAGACAATCCGCCAACAGTTTAGCCCACGCTAGTGGATCATCATCGATTCAGCAAGCCCAATTGTGTATAGAAAATATTGGAAACAACTTGGAACACTTACTTTGATGTCATTTTAAAATCTTATATGTATTCTTGACTTGAAAGTAAATTTAACGGATATCTAGGAAACTCATTATTTGTCATGAGGAATAAATCCCCAAGTTAATGCGTATAGGTTGAGAATCACCCTGTATAAGACTTGGGCTTATAAAACAGTTTGTTAAAGCTTTAGATAAGAGTGAGGATTGCTTCAAATATACATATTGTGTCAATCACATCCTGGTTTCAGTATAGAAAAATTAAAAGCAGGAATTTTTGCAGGGCTCAAATCCGTAGTGTTATAAATCATGATTTCACAAACCATATGACACAAGTTGAATTGGAAGCATGGACAAGCATCAGTTGTCAAAAATGTTTTGGGGAATCGCAAAGCTGAAGAATATTCCGAAATATTAGACCGCGCCTTTTTTATTTTTACTGTAAAATCAATTAAAACAATTCAAATATATATTGGATAAAATTAGTTTTCTTTTGAAATGTTTACCACCTCTTGAAAGAATGTTGGATAAGATTAGGTCTCTTTTGAGATGTCAGTCATCCCGCGAAATAATGTTGTGTAACGTTAGTTATCTTTTGAAATGTAAATCATCCCAGGAAAAAAATGTTGGGTAAGGTTACTTTTATTTATCCAGGTCTCAAGTGAAAAATGTTGAAAACTGTTATGATCGTTGCGCAGTGTAAGGTAGATTTTCAACAACAACGATGCACTATTTCTTCTCAAGCCTATCGTAACTGCTATAGGTGGACGGAAAATTAGTTTCAATAGCAGAAAACTAAGATTGCTGAGAGATAATTGTTGTGTCAAATGGGAATACTTATAGTTATATTTCCTTCTGTACGTTAATATTTCACGTGTATTTTTAATGAAGAAATAGAATTAAAAAATTTTGTCGTCAAGATTGTTCAACGTATATGAGGAATATATACTCACAATCAGACGGGCATTGGTGGAATGAAACTCACTAATCTCCGATATGTCGACGATACACTCTGCTGGCGAAACATAGGAGGAACTCTATACAATGCTAGATTTGGTGAGAGAAGAAAGCCGAAACTTACGATTAAAAATGAACTTATATAAAACAAAATTGATTATAATAGGCAAAATATCATATTGTAGATGAACTAGAAAATGTCACAGAATTCATATGATGGCGCACTCATATGCAATCAAGGAAAATATGAAAAAGAAATTAGAAGGCAAATAGCTGGCGATAGCTGTTGCCTTGATCAGCTTGACGAAGATATGGAAAGATCAATTCGTGTTTTCCTATACGGTGTAGAATCTTAGACTCAAAGAAGTCGAAAGAGAAGGCTTTCGAGATGTGGTGCTTTTGTCGAATGCTGCGTATTTCCTGAACGGACAGACACACTAACATATCTATCGGAAGGAAAGGAAATTGCGTTGAGGTAAATCCTCAAGTTAGCACTCGACGTCTTGCAATTGACGCCGGAATATCGAAGACTAACATTTTAAGAATATTAAAGCGCAACAAGTATCACCCATACCACATTTCATTGCATCAACGGCTTTATGGAGGTGATTTTGAAAATCGATTAATGTTTTGTCAATGGGCACAAGAACGAATGCGGTTGGACGTCAATTTCTTTGGTAACGTGTTATTCTCGGATGAGTCTACTTTTACAAACAAAGGACAAGTCAATTGGAGCGTTGAAAATCCGAGATGGTTGCGTGAAGTAGAACATCAACGACCTTGGTCGCTTAATGTTTGGTGTGGCATAATTGGTGATAAATTGATTGGTCCATACTTTATTGATGATATGCTGAATGGGGGAAGTACCGAAATTTTTTAGATAACGTCTTACCAACGGTACTTGTAGATTTGAGCAGGGAAGAAAGACAAAATATGTGGCTGCAAAATGATGGGTGTCCGGCACATTTTTCACATATACGGAAGGGGAGGTCCAATTTCCTGGCCTGCCAGATCACCTGATTTAATACCTCTTCATTTTTTTTTTGGGGCGTCCTTAAGGATAATGTTTATCGCAATGTATGCAGAAATAGTAGCCAAGAAAACCTTTTGAGATGTAAAGAAAGTTTTAGTAGAAAGGTTAATAAATGTATTGTAGTGGGTGGGGAAATATTTGAACATTTATTATAAATTTAATACTTGTTGTTGATTAATATTATAGTTTAATCATTTTTTATAAATAAACAATATTTAAAATTATTTGAATAAAAAAATTATTTAGATTTTGTCTACAAAAGATGTTTCACCGTCGTACTGGCAAAACCACACGGTATTTTTTTTTAAGTTATTTTACTTTTATCCATAGATTCAGATGATGCAATCAAAAACATAGGGTGCCATTTAAAAAATTTGTCGTGACCTTCATATGACCTTGAAAATAAGGTCAAGGTCAAAAATGTTATCGTCATATGGTTTCCCCCTTCGCAAAGAACAACTTTCATTTCGAGATAATCGCATGTCTCACGTTAAATGGACCAATCTGTATATATTCTGAGCTTGTTTTCGAAAATCGAGCTTATATGTGTAAATGTGTTCTCACTAAAACTTTTTAGTATTGCCATTATATTGCCATAACTATCTTTTAACGCTCTGACACCATCAGAATGGCAAGACCACCTAGTTTGGTTCAAACTTTTGATTGAAAATTTAAGTCTAATTTAGCCTATTTAACAGATTCCATATGTGGGAAGAAGCAGAAAAGAAGACATATATTTGTCGATCTGAGTTGAAGTCTTAACTGCTTCCTTGCCAACAATATTTAGGGAGTGAGCAGCACATTCAGCATATTCATATTTACTGCAGTCAGCAATAAATATGCATAGTCAGCATATTTATTATTTTCTTTGATATGTGCTTGTAACCCATTATATTAACCAGACATATTTGCAGCATATTCTTGTAGAAATGCTTGTAGAGAATTAAACTAAGCTAATTTTGATAAAAGAAACACACCTTTCGTACACTTTTTCCTCAAACAATATCGCACTACAATAGCTAGTTGATCATTGTGGGACAAATCTGACGTCGAGTCCATCACAATGGAGTAGTGTTTCGAATCATCGTTATTTATATCACTAATAATTGTTTTTATCATCTGTTTTCCCATTATCTCTATTATTTCTTCGTAAGTTGTTTTAGATAAGTATGAAGTAGAAGACTTTGGTCGCAGCTCCCGCTGTAGGATATGTTGGCGCAGAAATGGATCAAATTTTGCTATTGATTCTAGAACCCCCATGAAATTACCGTTGTGAGGAGAGCCAAATATGTTCTCGTGAGCCAAGATCTTTCTAATAAATGACCAGTTTTAATTTTTTTCCTGAAGTGAGTATTTGAAAATGATCGATTGTGGTCTTTAAAGAGTCTTATTGATTTTGGGATCTTTATTTTGTAAATTAGTCATCTCATGGGTAAGACATTGGTCATGTGGAGCATAATCAACATTGCTATCTTAAATGGAACGCATGTTTTTTGTATATTTTGATAGAGAATATTTGCTTCTATCTGATGAACATATCATATCATAAGGTTGTATAAGAAAACAACCGAGAAAAATTTTCTAAAAATACTAAATCTTGATGGACCGAGGCCCTGGGCTGCAGCCCATACCTAAATTGGGGGCTGCCACAATACATTTACTTTAGAAGTAAATATAATATAAATATATCTACGATATAACTACTAAACGTTATTTTCTGGATTACAAAAGAATGATATAACAGTCCTTTTAGATTCTACCGTCCTTGATTTTACCTAGATAAAAAATAAAGGCGTGACGTCCAGTCTATATAGAACATATAGCACCACCATCGTTTCCGATAGGACGGAACCCCCTCCCCCGCATGGTTTATTTCTTTCTAATTTATAATTTGCTTAAAATTACAGAGATAAAACTTTAAAAAACTAATCACCGGATACGATATCCTACTAAACCACGATTTTCTGCGAAACTATACCGAATACCGAAAAAATAAAATATGTCACTCATTAAGAACACAGACTACTACTTGTTTAAAATTGAAATTCTTTCGTTAAATAGTTTTTGAGAAAAAAAATCGCAAAGTGGACAAAGTTGGAGGTTTTTGTTTAACTCGTATTTAGCTCGTGATCAAAGGAAAACTTTATAGTTATTTTTTTTGATAGAACGATTGCAAAGATCGAAAGACATCGATCTATAAATTGAGGGTCACAGCAACACCCACTTAAAATGATTTATTTAAAATGTTTTAGTTAAACTTTACAATTAATTACATAATTTAAATTACCTGTATCTGAACAAGATAACATGGAGCAACAATTATCATCCGGTGCTGGTTGTTCAACACAAAGAGGATCCTCAATCTTTTTGCCTTTTTTAAAATAAGGAGTTGAACATCGATCTATGCAATCCATTTTTCCATTTGTACAGGTACAAATCGAATCACAACCAACCTCCAATTTTTCACCATTTTCATACGTTAATCCACCTTTTTCACAAACCCCTTAAAATAAAATAAATAAAATAATTAAAATAAAAATCTGAATTTAAATTAATCTTTTACTTTTCGATCCTTGATTCATTTTTAATCCTTTCGTATCATCATCAACATTATCTCCATCCAAAACTGTATCATAATCATTATCCATATCAACATCACTTAAATCGATGACTTTCTTCTTATTGTTAGTCTCAACTTTTGTGTTGTTATTTTTTGTTAAATCATTATTGTGGGAATGTTCATCTAAAGTAAAATTTAACGATCTTCCTTTAGGTTCTTCCGCGATCGTACTAACCACAGTGGGTTCGAAGACGTGTGCATCTTCCTCGGAAACCATACTAAGAGATTCTGGTAGTTCCACTGGTTTTGGAATCACCGTGATAACTTCGTAAATTGGTTCTAAAACGTAAACCAGAAAAAGAATTACAAAAACACAACCAAAGAAAAAAAAATTAATTAAAAAAATAAGTTAATTGGAAATACGATTCGATTACATTTTATGGGCCATTAAAGAAGAATCCCTTCAACTTCCTTGTTTTCATTCTTCCTGGAGGAGACATAAGTCGTGTCTAGTCTAATGAGGATGGTAATCCAAAAAGAAAACAAGAGTAAAACACGCACGTGTGTTTGCTGCGAGACCGTCGAGAAAGGATGAATAAGATGATGAGGTTTTTTTAATTTCTTTTTAGTTTCCTTTTTTTGTACATTCAAACGAAAGCTTTAACTCGTTTGTGGAGCATGGAGCATAGTTCGACGACCTTTATGAACTACATGCTCTTGGACCATAACCTATTGTATGTCTATAATGGGTGGATCAAATATTTTTCAAATTTATTTTAATTAATTCTTTAAAGATGCTAAAACAAGTCTTAACCTTTATTTATTAACGCGTAATTCCAGAGATTTCTAACCACTCGAAGCAATAAACAGTATCGACTATTAAATAACACTAATTGTTGTTTATTTACCGTTGTGAAAAGAATTTTCAATGTGACCTTGGCAAGAATCTGCGAGATTGTTGCTCTTGGTTTAGCGTTACGATTTAACTGATTTAATTAATTAGTGTAATATGTAAATTTAACACGTTTTAAAACCTTGGCATTGCATACAATACCAGTTCCTTTTCGATTCATCATCATCCTTAATCAAATAGTTAAAGATACCAATGATGTCATGATTTGTCAAAACAGTTAAGCAAAAATTACGTCGTACACTAAATTTGGTATGTTATTACCTTTATGGGGAATACCGTTATGTCAAGGAGTCAAGAATACTTTTACATACACGTTTATGAATCATAAAAAGAAATCTGGTTCTTGAGGAACTAAGAAAACGATTTGGTAAAGTCGGATTTAAATACATATTCAATATTTTTAGAACTGCAATAGGTAAATTTACTTCACATTTTTCTTAAAATGAGGTTTTAATGGTATATTAAGATAATTGTAGAAAACTATGTTTACGAAGCAATTTAAATCAAACATGTTGTATTTAACTCTGCAATTATAAATCGCCGAAGCAGGTAGGTAAACGTCTAACAAAAAGGAATTGTAAATGTTAACTCATAAAAGAAACGTTATGGTGAACAAAATAAGGAAGATGGACTGAGTTAGAAGGAAATTTAAGCATAAATGAATTTTCTAACATAATTTTTATGTTTTGCTGTCAATTATCTACAAAAAACACAGTGCTTTCTGATAGTGATGGATATAAGTGTCACTATTTTCTAGAAATAAAGCAAAAATCTTTAAAATGTCAAAATTTATTGAACCGATAAAGCATAATCCATAACCAGCTCGAACCTAGGTGTCATCATTTTCTAGGAATAAAGTTAAAATTCTTAAAATGTCAAAACTGATGGATTACAATGAAAAATCTGTAATCCATATTCCACCTAAAAAGCATGATCCATAATCATTTCGAATTCAGGCGTCACCATTATCTAGGATTAAACTAAAGCTAATTAAGGAAAATAATACTGATAAAAGTTATCCATATTGAACTTAGAAAGGGTGATCCATAATCAGTTCGAACCTATGTAGGTGTCACCATTTTCTAGGAATAAAGCGAAAATTCTTGAAATATCAAAAGTGATGGATTGCATTAAAAATTCTACCATTACTTATAAACTGAAGCCGACCAAGACGAATGTTACACATAAATACTATCCATATAAAACCAAAAAAGCATATCCATAACCAGTTCGACCATAGGTGTCACCATTTTCTAGGAGTAAAGCAAAAATGCTTAAAATGTCAAAATTGATGGATTACATTGAAAAATCTGGCACTATTCAAAAAGTAAAGCTGATTCAGAAAATGTTATGCATAAAAATTATCCATATAGAACCAAAACAGCAAAGTCCATAACCGGTTCAACCATAGGTGTCATCATTTTCTGAGAGTAAAGCGAAAATGCTTAAAATGTTAATATTAATGGATTACATGGAAAAATCTGTCACTATTCAAAAACTAAAGCTGATTCAGAAAGCAGTTACGCACAAAGTTATCCATATAGAACCTGACAAACATGATCCATAATCAATTTGACCATAAATGTCATCATTTTCTAGGAACAGGGAAAATTTTAAAAATTGGTGGGTTGCATTACGAATTCCATCATTACTTAAAAACTGAAGCCGACCAATAAGAATGTTAGGCAAAAATACTATCCATATAGAACCAAAAAAGCATAATCCATAACCAGTTCGACCATAAGTGTCATCACTTTCTAGGAATAAAGCGAAAATGCTTAATATGTTAATATTGATGGATTGCATCACAAATTCCATCATTACTTAAAAACTGAAGCCGACCAATAAGAATGTTACGCAAAAATACTATCCATATAGAACCAAAAACGCATGATGCATAACCAGTTCTACCATAAGTGTCACCATTTTCTAGGAATAAAGCGAAATGCTTAATATGTTAATATTGATTGATTACATTGAAAAATCCGTCACTATTAAAGAACTAAAGCTGATTCAGAAAAATGTTACGCATAAAATTATCCATATAGAACCTAACAAGCATGATCCATAATCAATTCGTCCATAGGTGTCATCATTTTCTAGGAATATAGGGAAAATCTTAAAAATGTCAAATTGGTGGATTATATTACAAATTCCATCATTACTTAAATACTGAAGCCGACCAATAAGAATGTTAGGCAAAAATACTATCCATATAGAACCAAAAAAGCATAATCCATAACCAGTTCGACCATAAGTGTCACCATTTTCTAGGAATAAAACAAAATGATTAATATGTTAATATTGATGGATTACATTGAAAAATCTGTCACTATTAAAGAACTAAAGGTAATTCAGAAAAATGTTACGCATAAAATTATCCATATAAAATCTAACAAGCATGATCCATAATCAATTCGACCATAAGTGTCACCATTTCCCAGGAATATAGGGAAAATCTTAAAAATGTCAAATTTGGTGAATTGCATCAAAAATTCCATCATTACTTAAAAACTGAAGCCGACCAATAAGAATGTTACGCAAAAATACTATCCATGTAGAACCAGAAAAGCATAATCCATAACCAGTTCGGCCATAAGTGTCATCACTTTCTAGGAATAAAGCGAAAATGCTTAATATGTTAACATTGATGGATTACATTGAAAAATCCGTCACTATTAAAAAACTAAAGCTGATTCAGAAAAATGTTACGCATAAAATTATCCATATAGAACCAAACAAGTATAATCCATAATCAATTCGACCATAGGTGTCACCATTTTCTAGGAATATAGGGAAAATCATAAAAATGTCAAATTTGGTGGATTGCATTACAAATTCCATCATTGCTTAAAAACTGAAGCCGACCAATAAGAATGTTACGCAAAATACTATCTATATAGCATGATCTAAAAAGCATGATCCATAATTAGTTCGAATCAAGCAGGGTTGTACTGTGCCGACATTACCATGTCAAGAAATCAATTATCGACGTGTCGACAAACATTTTTGTCGACATTTTGTCCACCCATCGATTTTTCTGCCACTCATCATGAGATCACCACGCACTATCGCACTATACATCAAAAAACGAATTGTTGACGTTGTCGACATTTGACATTGTCGACGTGTCGAGCAAGTACGTCGAGGTCAAGTGTCAACAAAAATGTCGACGCGTCGACAAGCAACCCTGGAATCAAGGTATCACCATTTTCTAGGAATGAATCGAAAATCCTTAAAATGCCAAAATTAATGGATTATTTTAAAAAATCTATTACTAATTAAAAACTGCAGTCGATTAAGAAAAATGTTACTGATAAAAGTTATCCATATTGAACCTAAAACACATGGTCCATAATCAGTTCGAACCTAGGTGTCACCATTTTCTAGGAACAAAGCGAAAATCCTTAAAATGCCAAAATTAATCGATTATTTTAAAAATCTATTACTAATTAAAAACTGAAATCGATTAAGAAAAATGTTACTGATAAAAGTTATCCATATTGAACCTAAAAAGCATGATCCATAATTAGTTCGAATCAAGGTATCACCATTTTCTAGGAACAAAGCGAAAATCCTTAAAATGTCTAAATTGATGGATTATTTTAAAAAATCTATTACTACCTAGAAACTGAAATCGATTAAGAAAAATGTTACTGACAAAAGTTATCTATATTGAACCTAAAAAGCATGATCCATAATTAGTTCGAATCAAGGTGTCACCATTTTCTGTTAACAAAGCAAAAATCCTTAAAATGCCAAAATTGATGGATTATATTAAAAAATCTATTACTATCTAGAAACTGAAATCAATTAAGAAAAATGTTACTGATAAAAGTTATCCATATTGAACCTAAAATACATGGTCTATAATCAGTTCGAACCTAGATGTCACCATTTTCTAGGAACAAAGCGAAAATCCTTAAAATGCCAAAATTAATCGACTATTTTAAAAATCTATTACTAATTAAAAGCTGATGTCGATTAAGAAAAATGTTACTGATAAAAGTTATCCATATTGAACCTAAAAAGCATGATCCATAATTAGTTCGAATCAAGGTGTCACCATTTTCTAGGAACAAAGCGAAAATCATTAAAATGTCTAAATTGATGGATTATTTTAAAAAATCTATTACTACCTAGAAACTGAAATCGATTAAGAAAAATGTTACTGACAAAAGTTATCTATATTGATCCTAAAAACATGATGCATAATTAGTTCGAATCAAGGTGTCACCATTTTCTAGGAATAAAGCGAAAATCCTTAAAATGCCAAAATTAATGGATTATTTTAAAAAATCTATTACTAATTAAAAACTGCAGTCGATTAAGAAAAATGTTACGTAAAAAGTTATCCATATTGAACCTAAAAAGCATGATCCATAATCAGTTCGAATCAAGGTGTCACTATTTTCTAGGAACAAAG